GAAAGGCATGTACTGGGAAGCCTACAACATGTTGTTCCAGAAAATAAGTAAGCTTTTAAAAACTAATGAGGTCATGTCAAAACTACACAGCAATCAGGGACTCCCAATGGCCAAATCTGAGACACTTTAAACATCAAAAAGAATAATGACTGGGACTTCCCTGATGGCACAGTTGTTAAAAATCTGCCCGCCAATGCAGGGGACATGGGTTCAATCCCTGGTCTGGGGAGATCCCAACATGCCGTGGAGCAACTAAGCCCATGCGTCACAACTACTGAGGCTGCGCTCTAGAGCCCAAGAGCCACAACTACTGAGCCTGTGCACCACAACTACTGAAGCCCACACGCCTAGGGCCCGTGTTCTGCAACAAGAGAACCCACTGCAATGAGAAGCCTGCGCATGGCAACAAAGAGTAGCCCCGCTCTCCACAACTTAGAGAAAGCCTGAGTGCAGCAACGAAGACCCAACGCAGCCAAAAATAAATAAATAAAGTTTTTTAAAAAGAATGACTGCAATTGACTGAAACACATGAAAATTTTAAAATCATAAATACCAGTAATCAAAAAAGAAAAAGCAAAAAAATTTTAAAAAAAACTATCACCATGAATAACAGCAACAACTCATTTATCAACACCAACCCGTAAGCTAAAAATGAGTAATAAAAGGGAAATAACTAAGCATTTATCCTGACTCTCCAGTAGGAACTGTATTTCAGGGGAACCAAATAACATCAGGCATGAGGAAAAGTACTTCTCTTAGAAGAATGCCAGCAAGTAAAAGTAGATGAAACAACAGAATTAGAAAGCCACTATCTTGCAGCCCTCAATGAAATAAATGATTCAGGTATGAATAATCAATGGATGCTAAACTTATTAAGTGAAAGGATGAATAGAATCTGGATATTTACATGGTACCAAGGTATCTTCCCCCCAAAGTTCTTGCCTATCTCAAGTATGTAATATTAACTTTACAATGGAGGAATCAAGATTTCCCAACTTACTCCAGGGATCAGTCTTAATTGCTAGTCACTAATAGTGACAACAACCAGACAATACATGCCATCTGATGTGAAACAATATGGATTATAATCAAGCCTTTGGATCTTTTATAGGAAATAGTGGATATAAAGAAACAACTTAATACCAAAAGGAAGCAATTAGAAAATCAGGAAGGAAGAATCTCATAGAGGACGACTAGACTTGTCTGTTTAACAAAGTTATGGGAAAGAAAATGGTTAAGGAAGGGTCAGTGTAGATTAAAAGAGATGTAAGAGAGATACAAAATAGATGTGATGTGTATTACCTGACTGGATCCATGTCTGACAAACCAGCATTAAAACACATTTTCAGGGACTTCCCTGGTGGTCCACTGGGTAGGACTCTGCGCTCCCAGTGCAGGGGGACGAGTTTGATCCCTGATCAGGGAACTAGATCCCAAATGCACGCTGCAACTAAGTCCACATGCTGCAACTAAAGATCCTGCCTGCCGCAACTAAGACCCAGCACAGCCAAAATAAATAATAAAACAAATAAATAAATTTTTTAAAACACATTTTGAGGGCAAATGGGGAAATTTAAATACAGAATATTTATTGGAAATATTAAGGAATTCTGAAGAATTTTGTTAAAAATAATAATGGAACTACATTTATATAAGAAAGCGTCTATCTTTTTCAAAGATAACACATTGAAGTATTTCAAAGTGAAAGTTGTGTCTGTCTTTATTTTTCTTATATTATAGTTGATTTATAATATTTTATTAGTTTCAGGTGTACAACAGGGCAATTCAATAATTTTATAGATTATACTCCATTTAAAGTTACTGCAAACTAATGGCTATACTTCCTTATGCTGTACAATATATCTTTGTTGCTTATTTATTTTATACATAGTAGTTTGTATCTCCTTAATCCTATACCCCTATCCTGCCCCTCTCACCTTCCCTCTCCCCATTGGTAACCACTGGTTTATTCTATTTGTGAGTCTGTTTCTGTTTTGTTACATACAAACAGTGTCTTTACTTTTAAATAATTCAAAAATTACAAAAATGAGATGAAGCAAATAAAGAAAAATATTTATAACTTAACTCTAGGTAAAGGGTAGATGGCTATCATACTAATTCCTCTGCTTTTCTCTCCATTTGAAATCTTTTTTACAGTAAAAAGGGAATTATAGATGAACATGTAAATAGATATAAAATACACACTGAGTCACAAAAACAACATAAAAAGCAGAGTCACATTACTTTGAGATTAGGGGCAAGCGATGGCAAAGTTAAACAGTTCTCATGATTTAAAGGAGTAACATTCACATAATGTTTGCAATATTAGAGTTTTATATTCATTTTATACGAATTGTCAAGAATTCTATTTCTTCCCATTTATCTAATCTTTGATAGCTCACAATTACATACAGGATGAAACAATTTAATTACAGAAGAGAAAACAAGCTTATTCTTGTTTTTTTCTGCATTTTCAATTACAACAGTGTAGCAAATGACATAGTTTAGTGAATAATAGAGCACTGGCTTGAGATTCATGAGATATGTATTCCATTCAGAGCTGATCATTGATATAGCACTGGATAGTCCTGAACAAGTCACCTTATAGTTGTAGAGGTAGAAGGAGAGCACAATCCCTGTATGAATCAAGATACTATCTATCATATGGGAAAAAGGGATATAAACTTTTTTTTTTTTTTCCTTTTGCAGCACGCAGGCCTCTCACTGTTGTGGCCTCTCCCGTTGCGGAGCACAGGCTCCGGACGTGCAGGCTCAGCAGCCATGGCTCACAGGCCCAGCCACTCTGCGGCATGTGGGATCTTCCTGGACCAGGGCACGAACCCGTGTCCCCTGCATCAGCAGGCGGACTCAACCACTGCGCCACCAGGGAAGCCCCTCTTTTGTTGTTTTTAAAAAAATATTTTAATTTAGAAATTGTTACCTTGCCTAGTTTATTTTAAAACACTTCATTAAATACTGTGTAATATTATATGTGTGTGTACAACATATGTTAAGCCAAGTGCTAGTTGGTGCTGCACTGTGCAGGTATGGTCAGCTAGCATTATATTATTTTGTTTTTTGGGTTTTTTTGCGGTACGCGGGCCTCTCACTGTTGTGGCCTCTCCCGTTGCGGAGCACAGGCTCCGGATGCGCAGGCTCAGCGGCCATGGCTCACGGGCCCAGCCGCTCCGCGGCATGTGGGATCTTCCCGGACCGGGGCACGAACCCGTGTCCCCTGCATCGGCAGGCGGACTCTCAACCACTGCGCCACCAGGGAAGCCCTAGCTAGCATTATATTATAAAGGACTTTACATGTTGCTACCATAAGCCACCCTCTTATTTCTACTTTTGACCATCGTTGATCTTTTAGCATACTGGATATCAGAAATGGATTTTATTGGTTAAACTATCTTGTTAACTTGCATAATGTATGTTGGAAATGAGCTTTCAATGATGAGATTTAAAAATATTCAAGATATGTGGATTAGCTGAAATTACTCTGACTCAATTTCTTACTCTTGCATGAATGGGGTGTAAATCTAGTTTTGCCTTCAACCTGAACTCTTAGGGGTTTTGTTTAATCTCCACCTGTAAACTCTGGATTTCATCAACTATATGGAGAAAGTTCCTGTCTCTGGACTGTTGAGTGTTTGCTTCCAGTGAACCTTTTGTGAAAGTGGTGGTTGGAGCACCTAAACAAGATGCTGGGATTTTTCTCAAGCCTGCAGAATAGATCATATGAATTGTTTGTGCTTACTTGCCAATACATATTACATAATAAATGTCTGTCTTATGTGGATCAGAATTGAGTCAGACCTCAAATTTCTCTGGCAGTTATATAGTTATCTAGCAAAGTAACCTTGCTGACTAAAGTGGCTCTGGTCAGTGTTCTACAAATCATTATTAATTTGTAAAGTTTGAAGTCATAACTCTTAAGCTGTCTAGCAGTAAAGATTTGAGAATTCCCTAAATAGATCTTAACAGATATAGGATCAATTGAAAGGAAAAAAAAAAAAAAAAACCTGAGTATCTCCAATGATGGCTATATTTAAAATAGCTCTTATGATTTAAAATAGTGACATTTATCTTGAGTTAGTATGATGACCTTTTTTTAAAATAAATTTATTTATTTTATTTATTTATTTTTGGCTATGTTGGGTCTTCACTGCTTTGTGTGAGCTTTCTCTAGTTGCAGTGAGTGGGGGCTACTCTTCATTTCAGTGCGCGGGCTTCTCATTGTGGTGAGAAGGTGGTGGATGGGCTCTAGGCACACGGGCTTCAATAGTTGTGGCTCACGGGCTCAGTAGTTGTGGCTCGTGGGCTCTAGACCACAGGCTCAATAGTTGTGGCGCACGGGCTTAGTTGCTCCGCGGCATGTGGGATCTTCCCGGACTGTGTCCCCTGCATTGGCAGGCGGATTCTTAACCACTGCACCACCAGGGAAGCCCCATGATGACTTTTAAAAATGTATTTGAAATACGTTGTTTAGGGCTTCCCTGGTGGCCCAGTGGTTGAGAGTCTGCCTGCCGATGCAGGGGACGTGGGTTCGTGACCCAGTCCGGGAAGATCCCACATGTCACGGAGCGGCTGGGCCCGTGAGCCATGGCTGCTGAGCATGTGCATCTGGAGCCTGTGCTCCGCAATGGGAGAGGCCACAGCAGTGAGAGGCCCGCGTACCACAAAAAATTAATTAATTAATTAATTTAATTAAAATTAAAAGAAATGAACACTTTTAAATACTGTTAAAAAAAAAGACAGAAAATGTCTTTAAAACATAAATTAATGAAACTAAAGGAAATTTACTAAAGAATTAATGAAACTAAAGGAAATTTACTAAAGAAAAGAAACATAAAAGGTACACTTCACTTTCATCTGAATAACGAATGTAGTATATAGTCATGTAAACTTATTTTATTTTGGTAAAAATCATCATAAACGGAATTCAAATAACAAGAGACTCTGTCTTCAAATATGAAGGTATTAAGGTGCAAAATACATACCATTCACAGGGCTGAAGGGATCGAAATGCCTTAAAAGAAGCATCCATTCCAGCAAAATCCCAAAACTTAACATCATAGTCATATCCTCCAGTCACCAAACGGGCACCTGAGGGATCCAGACCCAAAGCAGAAACCTGGTTTAAAAAAAAAAAAAAATGGAAAAGCTACTTATTGTCTATTATAACCCCATTTCCTTTCTCTAACCCTACTTCCTACCTTACAGGCACTGTAAATATAGATCACCACTGCTGTTACTCCTGAAAAGTGAAAATGGAAAGCACCTTCTATATTATGTGCCTTTGTTATTAGGAGTATTATTTCTTTGAAATACAAGAAAATATTTTAGTTTAATCTAATCAGTAGCTTCATCCAAACTTATCTACCATGTACTCAGAATAGCTGTCATATGATAAACTAAGTTGCTTTAGTATATAAGTAGAAATCTTACAAACAATTCAGCTTTTTCAATAAACAATTTTGAGGAAGCCTTTTAAGATTGTTTGACTATCATTAAATGAATAACACATGAATCTAAAATTCCCAAAATGAGTAATGCCAATAGGAACCATAAATCTATTTAACAAAATAGAGCAAAGTAGAAATTATTATCTTGTGCATTTGGCTAATTGTTTAGTCACCTTAAACAATTATTTTTAAAGCTGAGTTTGTAAGTAACTAACCACATTATAATATCACTTATACTGGTTCCATAAAATATTTGCTTTCCCTGTGAACTTTTCAAGGTTCAATTCACATACAAATATCCAATGTGTAACTCACTGTTCTTGTGCTACATTTATCATTCTTGCCAAAGCAGTTAGTCCCTGGATCTACTGACCTCTCAGAAGGAAAGACTGCATTAGAAATATTAAATGTGATTATCATATACATGAGACAGTAAAAGGATCATAGTTTTATATAAAGAAAGGCACTACAAATCAATCCTCCAAATAGACTTGAAATGTTAATTAAATATAACAGAATTACTGCAATCAAAACCAGATACTGACAAAATAATTTATACTCATTTCCATTACTACCTGTGAATACTGATTTCAGAATATAATGGAATTATACACAAATATAACAAATAACTTGTTATATGTTTAAATTAGATATGTACCCTAAATGGGTTAAAGAAAGCGAACAAATGAGAGCTATCATTTGAATGCCTGAACAATATGTCTTAAAACAATCGAAAATAAAACTAAATAAACATTAGTTTTTAAAGTCTAAGAAGTGACTTGCTACCACCAACTACAAACTTACTTGCCTCCATGCCCACTCTACCCTTCTTCCTTCCTGTTAAAATTAAAGAGGTGTCCCTCGTCCTGATAAAGCTAACCCCACCAGTGTTCATCTCCCTACAATGTAATTTGAAATTGCAAATTCATTTGTGACTTGTCTATTCTATTCCTGTCCTCCCCTCAAGAGTGTAAATTCCACTCCTACCCCATGACCACCAGTGTGGAGCCACAGGGGCTGAGGCCCTGAATCAGGGTGGGAGGAATGGTGACCAGCTGTAGGCATCCTCACTGTTCTCCTGGGGAAAAGGGCAGTGTTGTTTGCAACCTGCAGTTTCCAACTTCCTGGTGGTCATTTGGACTTCAGAGTAAACTGGGAAGAATGTGCCCAAAGGGAAACCTGGGGAGAAGCAGTTCTTCACCTAAAAAACGTTCACCGTTTTGAATTCTTTTTTTTTTTTTCACTGTGCTGCGCGGTATGCAGGATCTTAGTTCCCCAACCAAGGATCAAAACCGTGCCCCCCGGCAGTGTAAGTGCAGAGTCCTAACCACTGGACCGCCAGGAATTTCCCTGTTGTGAATTCTTTCACTGAGGAATAGAATTACCATTATGTCACTATATTAATGAAAAAAGAAATGGATGTGATTCATAATTTAGAACCAAAAAATGTAGAACCTAAAAAAATTGAAAGTAGGAAGTATACTCCTTGGGAAGAATTTCCTCTAGTGGACCAGCTTTTCTGGGCATTAGGTTGTTTAAAGGAACAAGGCTATGATCCTTCTCTGGATCATCTGGTAGGATACAAAGGAAATGATCTCTTAAGTGGCCAAGAAGATTCTTTGACTTTTTTTAAAAAAAGACAAAATAAGGTCTGGCTAAGGAAAATATCTAATTTCAGAAAAACTCCCATTTTATCTAAAAAGTTCCAAAAGATTGCCAGTTTATTTGCAAATTCTTAATATACCCACCACCTTTTCAGCCTCTTCTTGTGAAAATTTTCCTAGGATATGTGACTGCATTACATTCAGACACAGAATATGTGATAATTGGTCAGACTATGGTTAATCTGCTTTCTATATCTCCCTGTGATATTTACTGTGCAGTCTGTCATCAGCAACTTACATGGAATAGAGTGCAATAGAATTTGCCTTAGCATTTTAGTTCAAGTAGAAATTCTAATGCAAATACTAACACAGTAAGCCTATGGCAGAATTTATCATGTTTGTTGATTTTCCTCTTTTCTTTTATTTACAAAAAATGGGAGTAGGGGGCAGTAATATACTGTGACAGTCCTTGCTGGAGGCAACAACTAGAGAGAACAAGACAGGCCATTAGGGTATATTTCCAAGGTTTGTGACTGAGAATCCAAACCAAGAGAAGTGAGACAAACCTCTAGGATCTGTATCCTATTATGAACAGGCCGTGTAATTTTGGATTTCTTGTTTAATCTCTCTGAGATCCAGGGCCTTTACATGTAAAATGAGGAGATTAGAATACAGCAGTGGTTCTCAAAGTGTGATCTGAAAGGTCCACAAGACCCTTTCAAGTGTACTCAAGATCAAAGCTATTTTTACAATACTAAGACATCATTTGCCTTTTATCCAGAGGCTACAGGATGTGTGATATTGTAAAAGACTGAATGCAAAAAAGCAGGTATAATAAATCCAGCCCTCTTCTATTAAGCCAGACATTAAAGAGATTTGAAAAACTGTGAAATAATATCACTCTCCTCATTAATGGGTTTTTTCGCTTTCAAAAAAGTAATTTTTCATAAAAATTATCTATGTTAGCGTGTATCAGTTTTTCTTATTTGTAAATGAGTTAAAAACTCTATAAACTAGAAGAAAACAAAAGAGTGTAAATTCCATGTGGACAAAGACCATCCTTGTGCCCAGCACAGTGCCTGGCACAAATCCGACACTTAATAAATAACCCTTTTAAAAAAGGAAGGAGGACTGTAAATTTAAAAAACACATACAAAACAAACAGCTACGCAGTTTGACAAATATAAGATCAATTACCCTCTATCAGGAAAGAACAGGATAAACTACAAAGTTCACTTTTTTTTATCTAAGGACAGAAGAAAGATGGCAAAGAAGAAAGCAAAGGGCAAAGTGACAAAATGAGATCTTCAATGCTAGCATTCTGAAGTACCAGGATCTTGGACTTCCCTGGCAGCTCAGTGGTTAAGAATCCACCTGCCAATGCAGGGAACACGGGTTCAATCCCTGGTCCAGGAAGATCCCACATACTGCAGAGCAACTAAGCCCATGCGCCACAGCTACTGAGCCTGTGCTCTAGAGCCAGCAAGCCACACGTTCCACCACCACTGAAGGCCATGCGCCTAGAGCTCATGATCCACAACAAGAGATGCCACCGCAATGAGAAGCCCGCACACTGCAACAAACAGTAGCCCCCGCTTGCTGCAACTAGAGAACGCCCGCGCACAGCAATGAAGACCCAATGCAGCCAAAAATAAATAAATAAACAAACAAACAAATAAAGTATCAGGATCTCTGTGGCTGCTTATATACTCCATTTATTATCCACCAAAAGGATATGAAAGGTAATGAGTAACAGAAAACAGAGCTCTGGCGGAGCTTTAAGATGGTGGAAGAGTAAGGCGCGGAGATCACCTTCCTCCCCACAGATACATCAGAAACACATCTACATGTGGAACAACTCCTACAGAACACCTACTGAACGCTGGCAGAAGACCTCAGACCTCCCAAAAGGCAAGAAATTCTCCACGTACCTGGGTAGGTCAAAATAAAAACAAGAAAAAACAGAGACAAAAGAATAGGGATGGGACCGGCACCAGTGGCAGGGAGCCATGAAGGAGGAAAGGTTTCCACACACTAGGAAGCCCCTTCGAGGGCGGAGACTGCGGGGGTAGGAGGGAGGAGATTCGGAGCCACGGAGGACAGCGCAGCAACGGGGGCGCGGAGGGCAAAGCGGAGAGATTCCCGCACAGAGGATCGGTGCCGACCGGCACTCACCAGCGCGAGAGGCTTGTCTGCTCACCCGCCGGGACGGGCGGGGCTGCGAGCTGAGGCTCGGACTTCGGTCGGGGTGCAGGGAGAGGACTGGGGTTGGCGGCGTGAACACAGCCTGAAGGGGGCTAGTGCTCCACGGCTAGCCAGGAGGGAGTCCGGGAAAAAGTCTGGAGCTGCCGAAGAGACAAGAGAATTTTTCTTGCCTCTTTGTTTCCTGCTGGATGAGGAGAGGGGAATCAGAGCGCTGCTTAAAGGAGCTCCAGAGACGGGCACAAGCCGCGGCTATCAGCGCGGACCCCAGAGACGGACACGAGACACTAAGGCTGCTGCTGCCGCCACCAAGAAGCCTGTGTGCAAGCACAGGTCACTATCCACACTGCCCCTCCCGGGAGCCTGTGCAGCCCGCCAATGCAAGGGTCCCGTGATCCAGGGACAACTCCCCCAGGGAGAACGCACAGCGCACCTCAGGATGGTGCAACATCACAACACACCTGCCTCTGCTGCCGCAGGCTCACCCCGCATCCTTACCCCTCCCTCCCCACGGCCTGAGTGAGCCAGAGCCCCCGAATCAGCTGCTCCTTTAACACTGTCGTGTCTGAGAGCAGAACAGACGCCCTCAGGCGACCTACACAAGGAGGCGGGTCCAGCTCCAAAGCTGAACCCCCGGGAGCTGTACAAACAAAGAAGAGAAAGGGAAATCTCTCCCAGCAGCCTCAGGAGCAGCGGATAAAATCTCCACAATCAACTTGACGTACCCTGCACCTGTGGAATCCCTGAATAGACAACGAATCATCCCAAATTGAGGTGGTGGACTTTGGGAGCAAAGATATATTTTTTCCCCTTTTTCTCTTTTTGTGACTGTCTATGTGTATGCTTCTGCGTGTGATTTTGTA